TCATCATCATCATCATCATCATCATCATCATCATCATCATCATCATCATCATCATCATCATCATCATCATCATCATCATCATCATCATCATCATCATCATCATCATCATCATCCGCGTTCGCTTCCTCCTACCTCTCATGCCCCATCCTCTTCTCCATTGTCCTCCTCCTCCTCTTCCCTCCTCCCTCATCCCTCCTTCCTCCTCCCTGGTCCATCCTCCTCCTCCTCCTCCTCCTCAACCTCATCCCCATGCCCGTCCATATGCCCATCCTCATCCTCATCCTCATCCTCATCCGAACCCTCATCCCTTTCCTCATCATCAGCACCATCATCATCAGCAGCATCATCAGCATCATCAGCATCATCAGCATCATCATCATCATCAGCATCATCAGCAGCATCATCATTCTCATCATCATGATCACCACCAGCACCATCATCACCATCATCAGCATCGCAACCGCAACCACCACCACCACCACCACCACCACCATCATCATCATCATCATCATCATCATCATCATCAGCAGCATCATCAGTATCATCAGCATCATCATCATAACCACCACCACCAGCAGCATCATTGTCCTCATCATCATCATCATCAGCAGCAGCAGCATCATCAGCATCATCATGATCATCAGCAGCATTATCATCATCATCGTCATCATGACCATCAGCCTATGCATGGCAAGGTGCTGCGGTTTGCGCGAGCTGCTCGTAAGTTTCGAACGACCGCGAAGTTGCAGAGAGCAGGTACTTGTGTAACGCAGGTTTACGCGCGTGAGATACACGAAGTTTTTGGGAAAGCCACGGTTCGCTGTCGCAGGCAAATGGGTGCACTATGCGGAGCTAGCCAGCAAGGTCGTTGCCTATCTACTCTGTTAGATCTTCGCGCTCAATTGCAACCCCCTCTGCTAGGACAGATTTTCGCAGAACATGGCCAATTATTTTGGATCGTTTCTGCTCCGTTTCTCCTGAATGGCGCATGAGGCACATTCGAAGACCTTCTGGAGCGGTCATACTTTATTTGCTGGATGCGGGCTGGGATCCAGAGGCTCCTGATTCCTGGAAGGCACCAGAAGACTATCCTGGGGACTAGCTGCTTGGAGGTTTCCCGAGGGCCTTTTCTGGGGATCTTATTCAAGAGGGTGCGCCGCTGGATCTCCCCAAGGGGGGTCCCCCCCGCCGCCCCCCCTTCCCAGATCCGTCGTCGGGGAACCCCCCATCTCCCCCCCTTTCCCCGACCATTCGTCTGGGAACCCCCCCCTCCCCCTCCCCCCCTTTCAAAAGGGGGGGGGGTCCGAACCCCACCCCCCTCCCCCCCTTTCGCCACGCCGCCCCCTGACTCCGGAACCCGGCCCCCGCCACCCCTACCCCTAGTCCTCACCCCAAGCCAAACCCCGAATCCGAACCCCAACCACTATACCCAGCCCCAGACACTCACTACTCATTACTCACTACTCACTACAGACTACTCGCTATTCGCTACTCACTTCTCACTACCCCCTACTCACGACTCACGACTCACTACTCACTATTCACTTCTCACTACCCACCACCCACTACTCGCTACTCACGACTCCCTACTCGCTACTCCCTCCTCCCTCCTCCCTACTCACTTCTCACTACTCACTCCTCACTACCCACTACTCAATACTCACTACTCACTAAGCACTACGCGCTACTCCCTACTCACTACTCACTAATCACTCCTCATTACCCACTACCCACTATCCACTACTCACTACAAACTACACAATACTCCCTACACAATACTGCCTACACAGTACTCAGTATTCACTACTCGCTACTCCCACAATCGCTACTCAATACTCACTACCCACTCCCCGCTACTCATTATTCACTACTCACTACTTACTACTCCCTACTCACTAGTTACTACATAGTCTCTAGTCAGTAGTCACAACTCGCTAGTCACTAGTCACTAGTCACTACTCACTACCCACGACTCACAAATCGCTACTCACTACCCACTATTCTCTACCCACTTCTTACTACTCACTGCTCACTACTCCCTACTCCCTACTCACTATTCGCCACTCCCTACTCGTTACTCACTAATCAGTACCCACTACTCACTACTGACTACTCTCTACCCACTACTCACTGCGCCCTACTCGCTCCTCACTACCCCCTACTCGCAACTCCCCACTCGGTACTCACTACTCACTACCCACTGCCACTACCCACTACTCTCTACTCATCACTACTCACTACTCACTACGCACTACGTACTACTCAGTACTCACTACTCACTACTCACTACTGACTACTCACTACTCGCTACTCACTACTCACTACTCACTACGCACAACTCAATACTCACTACTCACTACGCACCACGCACTACCCACCACTCACTACTCACTAATCACTACTCGCCACCCACTACTCACTACGCACCAACTCGCTACCCACTACTCATTACTTCCTACTCCCTACTCAGTACTCACTACTCGCTACTCGCTACTCGCTATTCACTACTCACTACTCGCCACCCACTACTCGCTTATCAGTATACACTACTCACTACTCACTACTACTCCCTACTCCCTACTCTCTACTCCCTACTCGCCACTCACTACCTCACTACGCACTAACTCGGTTCTCACTACTCACCACTCCCTACTCCCAACTCCGTAGTCCATACACGGGGGGGGGGGTCCGACTCCCCCCCTCTTTCCAACGCCAAGAGGGGAGGGGGGGGGGGGGTTCCGGACCCCCCACTAAGGTGGGGAGGTTGAGGGGGGGGTCCGTACCCCCCCCCATTTGAAGTGGGGTATGGGGGGGGGGTTGTGGATCCCCCCCCCTTTAGTGTATCCAGGGAGATCCACTGGCGCACTTTCCTTGTTCAAGCTTCACCTGCCCCGCTTTGGAAGGAATGTGGCTGTTTCTGCTGAACAGAATATTTGATTACGGGCGTCTCAGCATTGGTGTGGAGGTGGGATGGAGGGTGGTGTAGATAACCTGTCCTATCGCTATCTCCTTGGCCAGCTTCGATTGGTCCAGCACGGCGAGCGACTGTGAGAGCTGATGTGCACCAGTGCTGCAGGAGGCTACTGGCCAAAAGCCATAATCAAGGAAAAGATACATGCCAGCATTGATTGCATGTGCCCCCGTTCTGGTCTCACACCCGAAACGGCCCTTCATCGTTGTTGGGAGCGTGCTGCGAACTAAGGGGATTGGTACACGGAGCCGGGCATGCTAATTCTAGAAGCCTATGCCCAGCACGAGGTGGAACCCTGTTTCTGACGGCGTGTGACCTACCTCTTGCGATTTGTTTGGATTGCAGTGGGGGCAAGTATCCCAGAGATCCCCGACTCCGCATATGTGGACTGGCCAGCGCTTCTTTCTCTTCCTTTGAGCCAGAAGATGTTCGTGCGTCGTTGGCTGGAGCTTTGCCTGGCAGAAGACAGACAATAGCACGAGGCGAACTTCATTATGTGAACTTGCCCTCCGTGCGATCCGAAGCTTTCCGTGCTCTGTCACAGATCATGAGGCGGTTGTTTCTGGTTTCTATACGAGGAGGCATCTGAGACCCACGGAGCCTGATGCCGACTTGTGGCTGAGCGTTCGTGCTTTGGTCGATGACATGGGGGTCGTATGTTCTTCGTCAGCTCCACCCTAACAGCTCAGCAGGTTGTATCCCAGGGGCCACCTACGGTAGGTTCGTGTCGTGTCGACCCTGGCGTTGGTTTCTGGCACCGCGGGGATCGTTCAACCTTGAACGATCGGGCGTTTCCGAAACGTCGGCTCGGTCAACAGCGACCGACTCTGGGTCGCAGGGGGCGTTCAAAATTGAACGCCGGCGGCGGGGTCGCCGCCGGTCGACACGACGCGAACCTACCGTAGTTGGTTGGCGAGCGGGAATTTAGTGGCCGATGAGCTCGCGTCGGAGGCGGCGCGCGGGGCCCGGGCCAACGCTGCCAGCGCCCACCGGGTGCAGAATTCGGAGCTTCGAGCGCGGCCCTCGTTCCGGGCCGAGGAGCGCGCCGGGATGAGGAAGGCGGGCACGGTCCGTCGGAGACCTCCGTTCGAGGCTGCTGCTCATGTCTTTCGCTCGATCAGAGAAACTATGGATCCAGTTTGTGTCGGGGTTTCGGTTTTCTGCTATGCCTGGCGGCCCATAGGGGCCAGACGGATCGCGAGGAGGAGGAGGAGGAGGAAGAGCGAAGCCCCGACACAAACTGAATCCATAGTTTCTCTGATTCGTCTCATCAGCTCGACGATTCTGGAACAGATGCCGGAGGTGTTGCGGGTCGGCCTCCGGGGCCACTGCGAAGGCGAAGGGGTGGCCCTCCTCCCCTTGCCTCTCTCCCCTTCATTGTAACGATTTGTTGTCCACCCTTCCCCTGGGGGGGCGGCTACACCTCGCGAGGGGGTGGGTGTGAGATTGCAGCGTAAGCATAACGTTTGGTTATGTGAGTGTTGCGTGAGCTAGCGAAAGCTATCTCATAGCCCCCCAAATCATGCACGAATCACATCGCCCCCATCGGCGAGAATACCTGAGTCGCCTACTACATATGGGGAAGTGGCCGAAGTAGCTCCTCAGCACAGCTGAGCAGATCCAGAGGGCCACTTAACTTTTCTTGAACGACTACGTCGGATAGCCCGTTCCCGTTCCAGCCGCTCCTCCTTCGGCGTCCTTCGGCGTTGACGACAGCACCCCTCATACGAAACATGCGGCCGAAGAAAAGAAAGGACGCGGGGCGCGCCTGGGACGAGGCCGCCGAAGAAATCTCAAGCTCCGCCTTTCCCCCTCCCTTTCTCGTCCGCCTCCTCCAACCCTCTCCACGCCTCCGCCCCCTCCTCCCTCCACCCCACCCTCCTCCCTCCTCCCTCCTCCCTGCTCCCTCCTCCCTCCTCCCTCCTCCAACCCTCTCCAGGCCTCCGCTCCCTCCTCCCTCCTCCCCACCCTCCTGGGCCCCCTCGCCTTGGCGTGCCGGCACGGCCCGCGCGCGCGCCGGGCCCCGTGCGCCCCGCAGGATGCCGTGGGCGTACAGCGGCGCGAACGCCGCAACGACAGCGGTGACGAGGACCAGGTGGTCCTGCCCCTCCTCTTCATCACAATCCACCCCGTCCCTCTCCTCCTCCTCCTCCTCCTCCTCCCCCTCCTCCTCCATATTCCTCTTCCGCCTCCTCCTCCTCCTCCTCCTCCATATTCCTCTTCCTCCTCCTCCTCAATATACTCCTCCCTGCTGCTGCTCCTCCTCCTCCTCTTCATCCATCCATCCATATTACATATATACAAACGAAAAACACACACACCAACACACCAACAATCAGACAAGCAAATCAACAAACACGTACATAAAGGCGTAACAAGACAAAACCTAACCAACCAACCAACCAAACAAACAAGCAAACCAACCAACCAACCAGCAAACAAACAAACACATACACACACAAACAAACAAACAAACAAACAAACAAACAAACATACAAGCATACAAACAAACATGCATTCATACATGCAATACCATACCATGCCATACCACAACTTACATAATCATCCTCTTTCTTCTCCTCCTCCTCCTCCCCCTCCTCCCCCTCCTCCACCCCCGTTTTCCATACCAGTACGCAACTCCTCACCGCCCCACCAGACGTCTCGGCAGGGCGGGCCTGGCGTTGCGCCTGAGACACCCTCACCGTCTGCGAGCATGAAGCTTGGTCATGAAACATGAAGCGATGTTCAAATGTGGCTCTCGCATGAGCGCCACCCGCATTCGCCCATGAGGCCTTCCAACGGCTGCTCTCGCTGGAACGCCGCACGAACTCGTCATCACAACTGGCGACCGCTATTGTAAAAGTGTGAAAGGCAATGTATTACCCAATCAGAGCTTGCCGCTGTAGGGCTCCCAGCGGATTCATATGGCTAGGCTAGGCGCGCCGCCGATTTCGGCGGCACGCCCGGGTGCCCGGGTGCCTGATAGCCCTATAGCCCCATGGCCCTATAGCCCTATAGACCTATAGCCCTATAGGCCCATAGCCCTACAGCCCTGTGACCCAATAACCCAATAGCCCTATAGCCTTATAGCCCTATAGACCTATAGCCCTATAGCCACATAGCCCTATAGTGCTAAGCCCAATAGCCCCATAGCCCCATAGCCCTATAGCCCTATAGCCCTATAACCCTATAGCCATACAGACCTATAGCCATATAGCCCTATAACCCCATAGCCTTATAGCCATATAGCCCTATAGCCCTACAGCCCTATAGCCCTATAGCCCCATAGCCCTATATATCCATAGTCCTACAGCCCTATAGCCCTATAGCCCCTTAGCCCTATAGATCTATAGTCCTATGGCCCTATAGCCCTGTAACCCCATAGCCCCAGAGCCCTATAGCCATACAGCCTTATAGCCCTATGACCCTGTAGCCCTCTAGACCTCAAGCCATATAGCCCTACAAAGATTCGGATTGGGGCTATTTTCCGGTATCATTTGAGACCTCAGCAATTTGCAACATCGGAAGTGATAATATGCGCAACATCTACAAAGGTTGACGGCAACTCAATGTCACCATGGGGCCATCGCCTCATAATTCCACGGCATGTATGTTCCAGAATAAAATCCCTCTAGCCCTCTGGGCGCAGACGAGTCTTTCCCCCTTGCTTCCAAAACCTATGTTCCTCTATTCGGGGAGAGGGGTGCCCCTCCCCGTGCCCCTCCCCAGGAGGGCCCCAGGTAGCCAATGATGGCCTCGAATATCACACAAGATAGCCAAAGATGGTGCAAGATAGCTTTCTAACATGCCTCCAACAAGCTCCAAGACTGTTCAATATGGCCACAGGGCCTCGTGAGGACCCCCCGGAGAGGCAAGAACCCGCCCAAAACCTCACGAAAATCCGCCGACCCTGTCGGCGTGTGCGAAAGGGTTGGGCGGCAACCCAGAGGGGCAACGCCAATCAGCCCATTCAGACATGATGCCCAGAGGCATTGCCTCGATCAAGGAAGTGGGCAGCACACAGAAGAAGGGTCCCCTTGTGGAGGCCTCGTGGAGCGTCTTGGGGGCCTCTAGGCGGTCCCGGACGCCTCTTAGAGCGTCTTGGGTGCCTCGCAGAGCTTCTTGGAGCCTCTTGGGGGTCTCTTGGAAGCCTCTTGGAGGCCTCTTGGGCGCCAGTTTGGGCCTCCTGGGGCCTCCTGGGCGCCTCTTGGGGCCTCCTGGGCGCCTCTTGGGGCCCTCTTGAAGCGCTCTTGGGAGCCTTGGGAGCGCTACTGAAGCCCTCTTGGGCTTTTGGGGCCATCCTGAGGCCTCGGATGGCCATCGGAAGCGAAAAGGCGAGAAAGCCAAAAACATTGATTTTCCCAAGGTTTTGGAAGAATTGCAGGCGGAAACCGCGCCAAACCATGGCGAAGAGCCTGTCGGGAAAAAAAGAAAAAAAAAAATAAAAAAAAAAAAAAAAGAAAAAAAGATAAACAGAAAAAAAAAAAAAAAAACTCAAAGAAAAAAATAAAAAAAAAAAAAAAAAAAAGAAAAAAAAAAAAGAAGCAAGAAAAAAAAAAAAAAAAAAAAAAAGAAAAAAGAAAAAAAAAAAAAAAGAAGAAACAAAAAAAAAAAGAAGAAAAAACAAAAAAAAAAAAAAAAAAAAAAAAAAAAAAAAAATAAAAACAAAAAAAAAAAAGAAAAAAAAAAAAAAAAGAAAGAAAAAAAAAAAAAAAAGAAAAAAAAAAAAAAAGATAAAAAGAAACAAAAAGAAAAAAAAAAAAAAAGAAAAGAAAAAAAAAAAAAAAAAGAAAAAAAAAAAGGCCTGTCGGGGGCCAGCCCCGGCCGCCGGGCAAGTCTGTCGCGCCACGAAAAACAGAAAAACAAAAAGAACAAAAAATACTAAACAAAAAAAAAAAACAAAAAAAAAGAAGAAAAAAAAAAAAAAAAAAAAAAGAAAAAAAAAACAAAAAAGAATAAAAAAAAAAAAAAATGCCGACCACCGCAGGGGTCTGGTCAGAGCTGGCCGGGGCGAGCGGGGGCAAGGGACAGCGGCGCAGAGCCCAGTCAGGGGGCCAGCGCGGGGCGCCAGGCGAGGCACAAAAGCTCTGCGCCACAGCAGAGGATCGGGAGCGCCCAAGAGGGGGCGTCCAAGAGGGGGGGGCGCAAGTCATGGCCAGCGGCATGTGCGCGGCCCAGGGGGGGGCCAGGGACGTGATGAACTAAGAAAAGGCGCCATGAAATCTGGGGAGACATCATGGCCCCCGCCATGATATCCACCCCTCCTAGTCATCCCCCCCCTCTTGGCCGCCCCCGAGAGGATGAGGCCACAGTCGTGGCCGGCCGGAGCAAACGAGATCAGCGCCACACCAGGACAAAGAGACAGTCGGCCCCCGTCGGGGCTAGCCGGGGGTAGCCAGGGGCAAGCGAAGTCGACGCCAGGCCAAGGCAGGGGGCAAGTTGGGGCCAGTCAGGGAACTCGAATTCGCGCCAACATGCTGGTGGCCAGCCGAGGCCAGCCAGGGCAAGGTACACTCGCGCCCAACCGAGGTAAGGAAGTGGTCGGTGCTAGCTGGGGCTGGTCGGGGCAAACAAACTCGGCACTAAAGGGGCTGGCCAGAGCGAGCGAAATCAGCATCAATCCAAAGCAAGGGGCTAGCGGGGACTGGCCAGGATAAGCGAAATCGGCGCAAGATCACAGCAAGGAGCGGGTCGCAGCTGGTTGGGGCTGGCCATACAAGGAAAGACCGTGCCAAACAGGGCAAGGAGCTAGTCGGGGCGAGTCAGGGCTTGTGGGGGCAAGAAAGAGCATCGCCAACCAACACAAGAGGCTAGACAAGGCTGGTCTGGGCCAGCGACATAAGAAATCGGCACAAGAAAGCGTGGCAAGAGGCTAGGCTGGACTGGTCGGGGCAAGCAGCATCGGCGTAAAACCAAGGCCACGAGCGTGACGGGGCTGGTCGGGCCTGGCCGCAGCCAGCGAAATCGACGCCACGCCGAGACAATGCTGTGCATCAGCGAGTGTGGTAGATAGCAGTCGGCGCACTCATCATCGGTGTCGTCACCCTCCGTCGGCGGTGGACAAACCTCCCATTGGTAAACCTCCCTTTAATGAAAACGGCCTAGGACCGAAACCGACGAACCTAGACCCGCAAAAATAACGGCCGCGACGCCCTCTCGCGAACCGAAAACGGCCAATTCACTAATCGACGTGTCAGTGTAGGAGGTCTATCAACCTCCGACTCCGACCCCCCGCTCGCCTGGCAGAACAGCTCCTCCAGCGGCATCGGCGTACTCCTCGTGGCCGCGGTAAGGGACGCCTCGCGGGAGGCGGCGGCGAGGCACAGTGAGACGAAGGAGCGCAACTTCGTACCCTCGACCAGGACAGTAAGGATGCGCGGTAAGGACGCAAGGGCCTTGAGTCTAGTCGGGCCTGTCCCCCTACAGGCCGAGCTTGGACGATTTAAAAAATGTCATAAAATACTAAAACAAAATGTCAAGCAATCGTCCCAAGACTAGTTGTTGACTCTTTTTGGATATTCCCCCCGTAGAGGGACAGGCCCGACTTCGGCGTTGAAACGCCACGCTGACGCTTTCCGTGCGGAGCGCAGCAGAGTGCCCAAGGATGCCGGATACCGAAGGGGCAAGGACGCAGGGGTCATTAGCCTGAAGTCGGGCCTGTCCCCCTACAGGGAGATTTTCGACGAATTTAAAAAAGAAGAAAAAAAAAAATGGTCCAACAATAGTCTGGGGACTATCTTTTTGGAGCATTTCTGGCAAATTTCGGGGCATGTTCTGGGTACTTTTGATTTTTCCTCGAAATTCCCCCTGTATGGGGGACACGCCCGACTCAACACTGGCCTTGGAAGGCTGCCCCGGCCCTGCCGTCGTGGTTGACCGCGCTGGCCGTGCCTGGAGCTCTCCGTGGCTCTGCCGTGGCGCTGCGTCGCGCCTCCTGCCAGAGGTGCGCGCCCCTCTCGCCCATCCCCCGCCCCTCCTCCACCTCCTCCTCCTCCTCCTCCTCCTCCTCCTCCTCCTCCTCACGCCTTCCTCCTCCTCCTCACGCCAGGTCCGCGCCCCCGACGCTCCCAAGGGCCCCCGCCAACGCCGCAGGAGCGCCTGCTCCAGGCGCTCGCTCCCCAGGCGGCTCCCAGCGCTCCCAGGCGCCGGAGACGAAAGGGGGGCGCAGGGGGGCGACAGGATGGGGAGCAGAGGGGATAGAGGGAGGGAGGAGCGACGGGGGAGGAGGCCGACAACGAGGAGCACACCTCCTCGAGGCGGCCAGGAGGGGCGCAGGAGGGCGAAAGGATGGGGGGCAGAGGGGACAGAGGGAGGGAGGAGCCGCTCCTCCCTCCCTCTATCCCCTCGGGACCTCGGGACCTCGGGGAACTCCCCCCGGGAGGAGCGACGGGGAAGCAGGAGGCCGACAACGAGGAGCAGGGCGACGACGCAGAGCAGAGGGGGGTGAGATGGAGCGAGCGAGCGAGCAGACACGGAGCACAGCTGCGTGCTCTAGTGGAGGCCTCACCAGTTAGGGAGCCCACAAAGGACGTACGCGCCCAGCTATGTACATGAACACGGCCCCTCGATTCGCGAGACCGGCCGCGTTATACGAATATTTGTGCAATGCGTGCTCTCGAAGCCATCGTGGATTCATGTACATGTACGTCCTTCTTTCGCTCCTGACCAGTGGGGTCCGAGTAAATGTGGTCGAAGGACTGCGCAGCATCGACACTGCATCGCCGACACGTCGGCGATGCATCGGCGACGTCGGCGAGGCATCGGCGCCATCGGCGCGGAGAACATCGGGCTCCACATCGAGCCGCACCGCCGATGCGTCGGCGATGCGGCGCGATCCTCCGACCCCATCTACTCCGACCCCACGACCCCGTCCAGGAGGCCCAGACACAAGAGCCCTCCTCGTGGCTTTCGGGCCATATCTATAGGGGGGTTCAGGCGGCCGTTCGGGACGGCCCGGAGGCCCCCATGAACGCCCTCGGCGAGGCGCAGCAGCTGCAGAGCACCCCCGGGGGCCGGCAAGCCGCCGAGCGCCCAGGGAAACACCCGAAGACGACCTCGAACGAGCGGGAAACATGGCAGGCCGGCATGTAAGGGACCGACGGACATGAGCCGCAGGGCGCCCGCGGACTCCCAGCCGGCGGGGAGCCCGGCGCGGACTCGCCGGGCCCACGGGTCGTAGCTCGCGCTGGGAGGCGGGAGCCGCACAGGCCACAGACGTCTGACGGCTGTGATCGCCCCAGGGTGTACAGCGGAGGCCAGTCCGCAAGAAGCCTCACACAAGAGGCCCAACCCTGAGACCCCAGGACGTGTAGTAATTCTTGGTGGCTGGAACGTCACGCCTTCCACAGCAGAACCATCGAGAGCCAAGAAACCCGGGGCACCCTGGAGGCGAGCAGGGTGTTTCTTGGCACGGGCCCCCACTGTGATGCTGCCGAGAAGAACCCCCGCTGGCTCTCTCCTTCGAGTCAGCGGGGTAGCCAGCTGCGGCTCCAGCCGCTCGTGCTCCCGCTGCTGCCTGCACTCCAGCAGGGCCTCGAGACCGTCGGAACGGTGGCCTGCTTCTGCAGCAGCCTCTGCCCCCAAGTGAAAGCTCGGAGCAGGGCTCAGCCGTGTCTGACCTCGGGGATCGACCGACCCGGGTCCATCCAGACCCGGGTCGGTCAGGCTTTGCAGGATCTTGCAGGATCTTGCAGGATCCCGCACCCAAGCCTGGGTCAGTGCAAACCTGGCCCCGCAGGATCCTGCAAGATCAGGCGCTCTGACCGACCCACGTTTGCATTGACCCCGGCCTCTTGAGCCCAACGACCTCGGGGACGCACTGGCCCAGGTCAGCGCACACCCCAGTCAGCCGGGGCGCCGTTTGCGAGGCCGGCCACGGGTTCCCAAGCCCGGGCCGGCCGTCGTCGAAGAGTACTCCCCTCGCTCGTGCGCCAGATCCAAGGGGCCGACATTCGGGCCGACTCAATCCGCGACCGCCTCTTGGCCATTCAGACCCACTACTGGGAGCACAAGGATCCGTTCCCCCAGGAGGACGAGGAAACCAAGGAGGGGCGCAGGAGAGTGAGAGCCCTCAGGAGTGTACAGGCCCTCCAGCAGGCCCTAGCCACCACCTCCCACTGTCCCTTAGCTGCCCCGGTCGCCCCTGGTCTCAATATAGCCTGTCTCAAGTGCAAGAAGCAAGGTAGTGTCAAAATTCGGATGCCCACATGGTTGAAACAACACTGTAGGCCTAAGATCTTAGCAAATCACCCGACCCATCAACCCTTTGTAAAATCCACCAACGGGATTCGTTGGTGTAGCCGTTGTGGGGATTGGTCGTGTCGGGCCCGCAGCAAATTGAAATCAGTTTGTGTTCCCCCCCCACACAGAAGCAGGGAGGAAAGCAATTCAAAGGTTGGCGCAAGGTCGTTTACCTCCAGGTCTCAAGGCCTGGCCCAAGCTCGAAGTGCTGCACTAGGTTCAGCTCGCAGGACGCCCGCGCGCGGCGGGACGCTGTCTTTCCAGGAGAGTTCGCTCGGGAGGAGGATGAGGATTAGGATGAGGATGAGGATGAGGAGGAGGAGGAGGAAGAGGACGAGGAGGAGGAGGAGGAGGAGGAGGAGGAACGCGGGGCGCTGTCTCTTCAAGACGAGGACCCAACACCACAAGATGGTTGGGAAAAACAAGTCTTGGGAACGCCTGGAGGGTGACATGAACTACGAGGCGAGAAATTAGCACCACGGCACAGGCCCCACAGAGAGGTCATCCCTTTGTGGGTGCCGTCCCCTGCAGATACGATTGAACAAAGTTCTCTGCTTGGGCGTGGGCTTAACACACTCCTTAGCCAAGCCTCGAACATGGCTGTGAGCGGCGTAGGAATAGCAACGGGTACAAACTGCAATCACCGTGCCATTCGAAACGGGAATAGTGACAGGCACGTGGCCTAAATCCCGCAAGACTGGGCCGTCAAGCCGCGAAAAATCATCACAAACACCTGGCGGAAGGGGGGCGGTCAGAGCCCTCAACCGTGCGCCCACGCAAGCAATTCTGACACCGCCAGAGACTGCGCGCGCCCAAGGAGACGTAAGCCCACTCGTGGGGAGGACCCTGGGGCTCCTTGGGCTCGGGAGGCGGGGCAATCCATGGGGCATCCGACAAATCAAGGCGGGCCATCTGGGAAGCACATTAGCCGCCAAAGCGCACACCGCCTTGGAAATCCGAATGCGCAGATCGAGCTCTCTGAGCTCGTTGTCGGACGCCCTTGGATGAGAAACAGCAGCGAGTTTGGCGGCCTCGTCGGCCTCTGAATTACCAGTGCGCAGCCAGCGCTCCTGATCTGAAATTCCCGCTCCAGCGGGTCAAGGTGGGCTTTGACCTTAACGACCGATTCGACGAGAGAAGCCCCTACCCGAAACAGCATCATTAGCCCCGCGAAAGGACGCTTATAACTGAGCTGCACAGCAGAGGGGGCTTCGCACTGGTGAACAACATTAGCGCAGTCCGAGAAAAAGGTGGAAGGGCCCCCTATCTCCATCCACCGCGGGCAATTCCCGCACATTCAGAGCACTGAGACGTCTGTGGGAAGGGGGCGTGCACGGGCCCGAGGAGCCTAGCGCCCCGCATTCCTCCTCCTCACCCTCCTCCTCCTTGCCCCTCCTCCCAGGAGGGGATTGGCTGACCCCCGTTCGCGCTAACCCGTGACGTGAGCCCCGACGACCGAACGCTCCTATCCCAGGGCAGCGGGGCCACGAGCTCCACCTTTTATTGCCGCAGCTGCTTCTACAGTGACCGCCCCACCCCTTCCATCGCCAAAGAAAAAAGGCTCGCGCCACCCTGATATCCCGACCGACCTTGTAAGGCTACGACTGGCGAGTGGGTAAACAGCCGAAGACCACTGCAGGCGACCCAGAGCTCATGTCTTGTACGAGAAGAGGGAGGAGGAGGACGACAATGTAGGAGGAGAGGAGATGAGGTCACGGCGGAGCGGAGTCCAGAAGGAGGAGGGCGGGGGGAGGAAGGACGAGCGAAAGGGAGCAGGTTGCAGGGAGATGGGGAGAGAAGGAAGAGTAGCAGCAGCAGGTGGCGGACGAGCAGGTGCGAGAGTTGGAGCACGAGGCAAGGGCAGCAGCAGGAAAAGATTCGGGGGAGAGGGGGCGAGAAGGATCGCCAGCGGTGCGCAAGTGCACGCTGCTCCCTGAACGTGGGGGGCACACGCGCCGAGCTGGAAAAGCAGCACACGCCCGCCGCCTGCCGTGGCAGCCCGCAGCACGGACCTGTCACAGGCTCTGACCACTTGGGCAAGACAAGACCGCCGAGGCCGCTGGCAGCCCGCAGCACGCTTGAGAGCGCGCACTGGGGCAGGCACGAACCGCCTCGAGCGCGGGCTGCAACGCACCCAGCACACACGCGGGCCAGGGCCGCCCGCTGAGCTCCTCCAGGAGTGACAAGACATCACCATCACAGCAGGAGCTCGACCGCAAGAAACCTTTCACGACAAACCCAACCCTGAGACCGCAAGACGCCTAATGATCTTTGGCGTGGGAGCGTCACGCTCTCCCTAACAAAACCATCGAAGCCCGAGACACCCAGGGCACCCTGGAGGCAAGCAGGGTGTTTCTTGGAATGGGCTTCGACTGTATCGCGCCTCCTTGGAGAAGAGGCAGCGCAGGGCTCAAGGACGAAGCAATCGATAAGTACCGCCCGACATCCGAACGAAACCGCGGCTAGAGATAGCATCGACGGATTACCGGCGACACCAGCACCGTGAGGTGGAGAAGACAGAGAAAGGTGTGGCGTGCGCGAAGTCGACAAAGTCGATCAGCCCAGAGCCCATATGGCGAAATTGACCGCGCAGTGGAGCCGTGTGGAGACGAGGAGCCTCCCAGACTCGCGACGGTGAGCCTGCCGCACGGCAACCGCAGCAACTGTAGCGCGCCACGGACACCACCTCGATGCTCAAGACCACGAGCGTGCACACGACCGCCAAATGCCTCCCCACTGGCCACGCAGCGTGGACCGGGAGGCCCGCGGCGCGCTTGAACCACGCCATCTGGCTCCAGACGGCACCGCTCTCCCCGGCGGCCCTGCCACGAAGCCCCGGATGTCGCGAACACGCTCTGGACAGCACCGCTCCCAGCACGCGGACCCACCGCCGACCACACGAGCGGAGCAGCGGCTCCAGGCGCGGAGCCGCCGAGCCGAAGCCGCGAAGCAGAGGGTGGGGGAGGAGCAGCAGCGGAGAGAGAGTCGGCGGCGGGCGTCGGGGGGTGCAGCGGGAGGGAGGAGGCCTCCTCGGAGGCCGGCGGGGCTTCTCGGAAGCCCTCGGGCCTTCCCGGTAGCTGTCCGTGCCTTCGCAGAGGGCTCCAGGAAACTGCTCAGAAGGCCACAGGGGCTCCCGAGCCTGGTGAGAAGGCCCTCCTCACTCCCCCCCGGGCTCTCCGCCGAGAGGAGGAAGCGCAGCAGGCAGAGCGAGCGGGAAGAGGAACAGCGGGCAACGGCGCCCGGGAGGCGGAGGCGCCGAGGCAGCGGCGGGAGGCGCGGGAGAAAGAGGAGGGAGGACGACGCCGACGACGCCGGTGACGAGAACGGGCGTGGGACGCCTCCTTTTCCGCCTCCTCCTCCTCCTCCTCCTCCTCCTCCTCCTCCTCCTTTTCATTATCCTCCTCCTCCTCCTCCTCCTTTTCTTCCTCCTCCTCCTCCCTCATCCTCCCTCCTCCTCCCTCCCTCCTCCTCGTCCTCCTCCTCCTCCTCCTCCTCCTCCTCCTCCTCCGCCTCCCAATTGCTTGGCGCGGGCGAGGGCGCCCCGGGGCCTCCGCCGAGACGGTCGGGGGCCGCGGGGCTTCGCCTGCCCAGGGTGCCCGGAGACGGGAGGGCACGGTAAGGCGGGAGGGGACAAGAACGGAAGAGGATAAGAGGACACACGGAGAGGAGGAGGAAGAAGAGGAGGAGGAGGAGGAGGAGGAAGAGAAGGAGGAGGAGGAGGAGGAGGAAGAGAAGGAGGAGGAGGGGATAAGAGGACACACGGAGAGAAGGAGGAGGAGGAGGAAGAGGAGGAAGAGGAGGAAGAGGAGGAGGAGGAGGAGGAGGAGGAGGAGAAGGACCAGTGTAAACCCGAGGCAACGATGATGCAAGAAACCTTCTCTCTGAGTTCCCTCTTCATGGGCCCCTGCAAGAATTTCTTTCCAAGGCTGGAAGTGCGCCGTTGGAAGACAACCGTTTGCGGATTCCAAATCGTTCCAAAAACGCTACTTGTTGGACTTCGACGCCGCGAATCAACTTTAATGTTGCGTCCTGAAGAAACTGCATCGTGCCAGAACGCCATTCCTGGGACTTGAACACCGCAAGTCAACGTGACGGCTGCGCACTGACAGTCCTAAATCGTGCCGGGGCACCACGTCTGGGGCGTTGACCATAAGACGTCCGCTGAACGGCTGTAAACTTTTAGCTCGAATGCGCGCGGCGCTGGGCGGGAGAAAAAAACAGAAAAAAAAAATAAAAAAAAAAAAAAAAAAAAAAAAAAGAAGAAAAAAAAAAAAAAAACAAAAAAGAAAAAAAAAAGAATAAAAAAAAAGAAAAAACGAAAAAATATAAAAAACAAAAAAAAAAAAAAAAAAAAAAGAAAAAAAAAGAAAAAGAAAAAAATAAAAAAAAAAATAAAAACAAAAAAAAAAGAAAAAAAGAAAAAAAAGAAGAAAAAAAAAAAAAAGAAAAGAAAAAAGAAAAAAAAAAAAAAAGAAAAAAAAAAAAAAAATTAAAAAAAAAAAAAAAAAAAAATAGAAAAAAAAAAAAGAAAAAAAAAAGAAAAGAAAAAAAAAAAAAAAGATAAAAAAAAAAAAAAAAAAAAGCCCACTTTGAACCACCCGCCCTCCATCCAACAAACTCACGCACTTCTTAAAAAAAAAACTTAAAAAAAAAAAAAAAACAAAAAAAAAAAAAAAATAAAAAAGAAACAGGCGCAAGGGGAGAAGACGAATGTGCGCGGTGCTGGAGCAAGAACCGCGTTTTGAAAACCACCCGCCCTCCATCTGCGAAACCCTTGCAACTTTTTAACCCGAATGAAAGCGGCGCTAGGGCGAAAACCACATTTTGAAAAAGGAGCCGCCGTCCATCCGGGAAGCTCCTGCGAACTTATAAGACGACTGCGAGCGGCGCTAGGGCGAGAGCCACATTGTGAAACAGAAGTTTCCTCCATCCGTGAAGCTCTTGCACACTTTCAAGACGAATGTGCGCGACACTTTGGCGAGAATCACGTTTTGAAAACCACCCGCTCTCCATCCGGGAAGCTGTTGCGATGTTTTTAAACAAATGTGAGAGCAGCGCTGGGGCGAGAACCACATTGTGAAAACGGCCAAGATTCCATCTGCGAAACAAGTGAACGTGAATGTACGCGGCGCCAAACGCGAGAACCACATGTTGAGAGCCACCCGCCCTCCATCCGTGAATCTCCCGTGAATCCTTAGGACGACTGCGCGCGGCGCTGCCGCGAGAGCCACATCTTGAGAACCGCCCGCCCTCCGTCCGTGAAACGATTGCACAACATTTTAAAAACGAATGCGCGCGGCGCGGAAGCGGGAACCACATTTTGAAAACCACCCGCACTCCGTCCGTGAAATGCTGGCAAACTTCTGAGGACGAATGTGCGCGGCGCCGAGGCGAGAACCATACTCTGACCGGCGATGAGGCGAGAGTCACGTGTTTGAAAACCACCCGCCCTTCATCAGTGCAAGTGTTGCAGATTTGAAAATTCGAGGATCGTCAAAGATGAGGATGTGTCAGGCGAAACGCCTTGCCCACCCTACCGACACGTCTCGGGACTCGACATAGCGGACATACAAGAAGGAACTGTAGTGAATGGGGCGTGCGGGGGCAAAACAAACGGCAAGCAAGAAAATGAGGCGGGGTGAGGGAACGGGGGGGCGGGGCCGGGGAACCACGAAATGCGGGAAACGACAGCCAGTGGCCGAAAACGAGAGGCGGAAAGTGGCGCGGGAAAAAGGCGCGGGAAAGGTCACGGGGGGACGGGGGACGGATAGACAGAGGAAACATGACAAATAATGGGAGACGGTGGCTCACATACACAAAGATTGATGCTAGTATTTAATTGCATATCCGTTCCCAAGAGAACTACATACGGACCCACAAAACGAAGCGAAGCAGATAAAGAAGATACCCCTGCACGTTTCAGGGTCGTTAGCAACGCCGCTACGGGTTGACATCTGAAATGCGCACGCGCATTGCCCCAGCTCCAGTGTCTCGTGCCACTGGCTGGGGGCCAAATGTGCTGGCCACCAAGGACATGTATTCAGAGTGCGGGAAATGAAACGATTAGCAAGCTCCACGCCTCACGACATCAGCAAATTACAACTGGTATTGAACGGCAGGCCTGGGCGACGCAAAGCGCATCGCAGCTCGCATGGCAGACTGCAACAGGCCGCCGCGGCGAAATGCGCGAAATCGCTGCCACAAGGCGTGCGAACGAGCATGTAGTCTATGTCAAGATACACTGCGACAGCTTGCCATTAGTCATTGCGACAGGCCCCGTCGAGGGCGCAAGCCTTGGCGCGCGCGTGGGTCGAGCGCCCACCGCGTCGAAGACAGCGTGGACTGAGACGGCGGCGAGCACCCCGCAACGCGTCCGAAATCTCGAAGCAAGGCTCAAAACGCGCGGCGCCGAAAGGGAAAACAACTTGGTCCGGCCCGGCGCGCGCGCGCGTGCCAGGGCGAGTTCTTGCGACTCTGGCCATCGGTCCGCACCCCCCCCGATCGCGACGACATGGTCGCGGGCCCCCGTCTTGGGCACACTGCCCGCGCCAAAGGGAGAAACCCTTCGTCGGGGGGGGTGGAGATCCTGAGGCGCCGCCGATTGGGCGAACTGCGCGCCCGCGGAGCCCGCGGCGCTGCGCAGGACCGCCCAGATATCGCTCGAACACCGCCCGGGCGGAGGTGGCCGCCCAAACGCGGGGCGGCGGAGAGCGCCGCGGGCGCGCCCCCCTCGCCGCGGGGGCGCCGCGAGCCACCACGCCACCTCCTGCGGGCACAGGCCTCGCGCCGCGCCCAGCCCGGGGGCCCCGCCGCCCCACGAGGACTGCCCCGCGGCAGACGCGGGGCCGCTGGCGCGTGCGGGAACCCCCTGGACGCGCCAGGAGTTGCCGCGCAGGGCCCGCCGACGCAGGGATCGGGAACGCCCTGGCCCGCCGCCGCCGCCCAGGAGCCCGGCCGCCCGCCCCGCTGCGCGGGCGCGCTCGCCCCGCCCAGCCTCGCCGCGGCCGGCGACCGGGGGCCCCCGCGGCGCACCCAGAGATCCGACGTCGCGATTTCTTCAATGCGGGGCCCCGGGAAGCCCCGACCCTTTCCCCAGGGCCAGTTTTTCATCCTGAATCGTTTCTTGACGGTCCCGAGGCCCGGCGAGGGCCTCTACGCGGCTGGCCCAGCGCCAACAGCGACCGCCACGCCAAGGTGCTCCGCGCTCCCCCCGTGGCATGCTCTCGCTGCCATTTGCTCGTCCCCTGAAGGTGTGTGCCATTCCCTGGACAGGTGGGGCCAAGATCATGGTCAGTGGCCCCGCGTTGATGTCGATGAAGCCTTCCGCGACAAAGTTCCCATCCAGGGTACCGATAATCCACCTCACGAGCACAACCCAAATGAGCAGCCAATGAAGAGCGGTAAAGCATGGGTGGCCCAGTCAGCCATGTGCCTGCTGACTTTACAACGGGAAAGGGGTTCGAGCCCATATGGTTACAATAATGGCATCCGGCAGAGAGCCCAGGTCGCACATACACCTATTATATATATATATACATACATATATATATATATATAACAACGTCACCAAGGCGGGCAGACAACATCTACGATGATCCAACGAAACAACCAAAAGCTGTAATACAGACGGACATGTGCCAATGTGCATGCCAGCTTTCACCGAGACCTCATTCAGGAATGGCCTGGCAGTGACTCGGTGTTCAAAGAGAGCTTGGTAGTTGACGATAAACATACACATACACACATACATACATACATACATACATACATACATACATACATACATACATACATACCTACATGCATGCATGCATGCATACACACATACATACATACATACATACATGCATATATACATACATACATACATACATACATACATACATACATACATACATACATACAAACAAACATACATGCATACATACGTGCGTACATGCATGCATACATACATACATACATACACATACATACATACATACATACATGCATGCATGCATGCATGCATGCATCCATCCATCCATCCATCCATCCATCCATCCATACACACACATACATACATACATACATACATACATACATACATACATACATACATACATACATACATACATACATACATACATACATACATACATACATACATACATACATACATACATACATACATACATACATACATACATACATACATACATACATACATACATACATACATACATACATACATACATACATACATACATACATACATACATACATACATACATACACACACGTAAGCACATACATACATATATGTATATATATGTATACACACATGTAGGCGGAAATACAGAGAGATAGAGAGAGAGAGATAAAGAGAGAAAGAGAGAGAGAGAGGAAGGGAGAGAGAGAGAGAAAGAGAGAGCGAGAGAGGGAGAGAGAAACACAAAGATAAATAGAGAGAGAGAGCGAGAGTGAAAATAATCAAGCAACACAAACGAGGAAAGGAGGGGAAGGGGGGAGATGGGCGGGAAGACTGGGGGAGAGGGGAGCAGGGAGGCAAACATATGAGGAGAGGAGGAGGAGGAGGAGGAGAAAGAGGAGGGAAACAGGGGGAGGGGCTGGAGGCGGTGGGAGGAAAGAGCGATCTGGGACGGAGAGGCCCACCCATCCCCCCCCCCCTTTCGCCCGCTCTCCCCCCTTCATTCTTCTGCCCACTCCCTCCACTCCCCTCGTCCCTCCCTCCCTCCCAGCTCCCACTGCCATACTATCCAGGAGGAGGAGGAGGAGGAGGAGGAGGAGGAGGAGGAGGAGGAGGAGGAGGAGGGGAGGACTGGACTGGCCTACAGAGTAGTATAGCGGGGGGGAGCAGGGCCTTCCGCAGCCTTCTGGCGCGGCATCTGGGGCATGACCTTACAGCGGACGACTCCAGGGTTAGCTCCTCTTCTTCCTCCCTCGCTCACTCACTCACTCACTCACTCACTCTCGCTCTTGCTCTCGCTCTCTCTCCCTCCCTGTCTCTCTCTCTGTCTCTCTCTGTCTCTCTCTCTCTCCATCTCGCTCTCTCTCCCTCTACACACATGTCCGCCACCGTGCCCTGAGACACGAGTGGGAGTATTATCAGGTCGTTATGAGTCCTTCGAGCCGACCCCGCCGACCCCTCATTCTTATCCGCATCTGTGAATTGTAAGGGGCTGGGGTCCAAATGCACGGTTTCTCCGGGGCGTAGCGCGTAGTCCCACTAGACGCTGGGAAGCCAGATAGCCCCAAGATTGGCCACGAGAGCCCCAAGAAGCCCGCAAGACCTTCCAAGAGGGCCCCGATTCGGCCTAAGGGCGCCCAGATGGTCAAGATGGCCTCAAGACGGCGCAAGAGGCCTCCAAGATGCTTCAATAGAGCCCCAAGAGTCCTCCCAAGAGGCTCCCAAAAGGCCCTTTTGCAGCATGTTCGCGTTCTCGCCTTTTCGGGCTCCCGCCGCTCAGACGACATCCCAAGAGGCCCCAGATATTGCCCCAAGCGGGCCCAAGAGGCTCCCAAGAGAACCCCAAGATGGCCCCCAGGCGGCCCAGCGGGTCACAAGACGGCCCACCGCAACCGCAGCCATGCTGCAAGTGACCCTGCTGGCCATTTCGTCTCGTTGCCGCCGACCTCCTGCAAAAGTTCCGGCACGAGGCTCGTCTGCATGTTCTCACGGGTGAGTGATGCAACTCCTGTGATGTGGCAGACAAAGAAATCGGCCTCCGCTTGTGGAAGGCCCAGTTTGCTTAATCCTCATTGTACTTGACTGCCTGCCTAGAGGTCGATCACTGTAACCACCAAGGTGAGGTTGTCCGTTCATGTCATCGTAAATCTCGTGGCCTGCAGCTGCTGGCCTGTTCTGACTGACCTGCCTGTTCCTGGCAGGATACCAGCTCAGTGAGTTTCTCCAGCCCTACACCAAGACCTATCACCTTGAGCTCCCCCACCACGTCTGCTGCGATCATCTCCTCCTTGTGCACTGACAACGTGGTCGCGAACACAAAATGGCAATGCCCTTTCCCTGTGGCCTCAGCAGGTTCCAGCTTGGAAATCTGCACATCCACATGATCGCGAAGGTCAATGGGGGCTACGGCACGCCTCGTGAAGTCCGGTCAACTTGGGTCTCGCCTGAGGCGACATGCCCCAGGCTGATCTGCGCGGGGCTATGATGCCAGCTCTCCGCGATCAGCGCGATTTCGGGAGCCTCGCTCTGTCTCTCTCTCTCTCTCTCTCGTTCTCCCTCTCTCTCTCGCGCTAAACGGCGTGAACATGATAAGCACAAAAGCCAGCGATGCGTGTGCAGAGCATGCTGGTCAGCAGCTGCTCCTCGTTCTACTCGGTACAAACTACTCATTTGTCAGGTGTGGCATGCCTTCTCATTGCAATGTGGCCGATGTTGTGTTACGACCTCCTCAACCATTAACCGCACACATCTGCACGTGGGCTGGTGAGTCTTGTTGTCTCGCCAGCGCTGCTCACGCCAACGCTGTTTCTTCCCCCAAAGTTTAAGCAAGTTTCCCCAAAAAGTGCTTGCACTCAATTCGGGGGCGGTCTGGCGGCTCCGTGGTCGCCGTCGCCGCACCGTCGCCGCCTCGTCGTCTGGGCCTGGCTGGCGGTCTAGCGGTTTCGTGGTCGCCGTCGCCGCCGTGTCGCCGCTTCATCACGCTCCGTCCTTTGGGCCTGGCTCGCGGTCTGGCAGTTCCGAGATCGCCGTCGCGGTCGCCGCCGTGTCGCCGCCGACACTACAGTACATAAATCCTCCGGTCTAAAAGAAGATTCGGATCTACCCCGCCCCCGGGGTTATCGCTCCCCCTTGGGGAAGTACGAATAACATATGATATTGCCCCATCTTCATTTGGAAAATGAGCTATATCATCCCAGCTAAACCCGTTTATCGACCCCCTTTCGTCCCTGTCAACTAATACTGCCCGCTCACCCATTTATCACACATCATCAGTTTCTAATCCCCTCCTTCTCCTACCCAGGGGAAGGGTATACACTCCCTCCTCCCCCAGGCGACTGGGAGCCAACCCGAGTCAATGAGGGCACCCCCCCACCATCCCTTGTAAAAACCAAACAAAACACACTGTTCCTCCTAATTCGGAGCATGCGCAGCCAACCCGATGCGGCCTCCCCCCACCACCCCTGTCAAAAACAATACAGAATACACTTGGCGGCGGCGGCGGCGGCGGCTGCGGCGGCTGCGGCGGCTGCGGCGGGGGCAGCGGCTGCGGCGGCTGCGGCGGTGGCGGCGGCGGTGGCGGCGGCGGCGGGGGCGGCGGCGGCGGCGGCGGCGGCGGCGGCGGCGGCGGCAGCAGCGGTGGCGCAGCGGCTGCGGCGGCAGCGGCTTGCGGCGATTCGGCAGCGCGGCGGCGGCGGCGGCGGGCGGCGAGGTGGCGGCGGCGGCGGCCGCCAGCGGCGGCGGCGGCGGCGCTGCGGGGGCGGCGGCGGGCGGCGGCGGATTGGCCCCCAGTAGCTGCCCATCCAAAGAAGACTGCTGAATATGCTGCGGCTCGGGCCAGGCTCGAATGCTACGTATGTGTTGGGAGTGAGCGAGACGGCTTGCGGGCGGGGAGGGCGTCTTGTCCCCTCCCCCTATCCCTTCCCCTTGGCCTGGGAAGAGGGGGGGCGCGAGGCGCTAACACGCCCAAGCGGGTCCAAGATGGTTCCAAGAGGGCCTCGGAGAACCGAGGAAGGCCTCCAAGATGGCTCAAGGTAGCTGAAGATGGCTCAAGATAGCCTCCCACATATACCGACTTGTTTCAAACTTGTTTCAACGACCCCCCGAGAGGCCAAGATGGCTCCAAAGGGCCCGAGAACGCCCCAAAAACGCCACCAGAGGCATTCGTTGTGCCTCCGAATGGGGGCTGAATTGAGGACACCCTCCTTTTGAGCCACGGGGTGCCAAAACGGCCCCAAAAGAGCCCTCAGACCCGCCCAAAGGACCCAACGAGGACCCCAAAATGACCCCCAAAGAGCCCCAAGTGGGACCCAAGAGAACCTCAAGAGAGCCACAACATGGTTCCGATATATCCACGAGAACCTTCGTTCACAACAACGCTTCGACTCGCCTGGCAAACTGTTTCTGAATGGGCTGGTGGGGATACGCGGGGAACCCAATTTGTTGTGCAACGTATGCTGTGCCGTGTACGTGCTATCCATGCTTTGCAATTCAACGTGCCGAACTTGAAGTTGTCAGCCCCCCTGCTCGCGCAATCATCCCACTCGCCCACCCGCAGTTTGGTTTGCAAAACCCATGCGGCGACGATTGTGATGACTGCTCGGCGCTGGCTGGCGCGTCGCCACGGCCGCGCCAACCCGCATGCTCGCGCGCGCAGCTGCCAGCTAGTTTGGCGCGACCGACGCGGTCGTGGTGGCGATGGCCGCTGGGGACTTCCCAGCGGGCACTTGCGTGCGAGTGGGCGAATTGGCTGGGCGCGGCATCATGGCAGCGGTAGGCGCGATGATGATAATAGCGATGCTGGCGACGATGACGGCAACGACGACGGCACGGCCACTGACTCCTCCGATGCTGATCGCGCCGACGATGATGACGGCGTCTTCGCGTCGGTGGTGAACGCTTTGGAAACAAAAAAGTTCGACACGCGCGCGCGGGCGACGCGCAAGAGTGGCCCGCATGATGTTATTTGACACATAGGCCCCATCCTTCTGCGGCCTCTCTCGAGCAGGTTCGCCATGCGATGGCCTCGGGGCCCGAAGCTGGGCGAAACCGCCTGGTGCGAAGAAGTGCAATGCCCGGATCCCAGGGTCCCTCTCCTCCTCCTCCTCCTCCTCCTCCTCCTCCTCCTCCTCCTCCTCCTCCTCCTCCTCCTCCCACCTCCCCTCCTCCTCCTCCTCCTCCTCCACTCCCCCTCCTCCTCCTCCTCCTCCTCCTCCTCCCTCCTCCTCCTCCTCCTCCTCCTCCTCCTCCTCCTCCTCCGACCACTCCCCCTCCCCTCCCCCTCCTCCCCCTCCTCCTCCTCCTCCTCCTCCCCCTCCTCCTCCTCCTCCTCCTCCTCCTCCTCCTCCTCTTCCCTCCTCCTCCTCCTCCTCTCCCTCCTCCTCCTCCTCCTCCTCCTCCTCCTCCTCCTCCTCCTCCTCCTCCGCCTCCTCCTCCTCCTCCTCCTCCTCCTCTGCTCCTCCTCCTCCTCCTCCTCCTCCTCCCTCCTCCTCCTCCTCCTCCTCCTCCTCCTCCTCCTCCTCCTCCTCTCCTCCCTCCTCCTCCTTCATCCTTCCTCCTCCTCCGACCATTCCCCCTCCCCCTCCCCCTCCCCCCCCCCTCCCCCTCCCCCTCCTCCCCCTCCTCCTCCTCCTCCTCTTCTCCTCCTGTTTCCTCCTCCTCCCCCATATCCCTCCCCCCATCTCCCTCCCCGCCCCCTGCCCCTCCCCCTCCCCCCCGCCCCCTCCCCTCCCCCCCCCCCTCCCCTCCCCTTCCCCCGTATTCGCGAGGGTAGGGTTCGCGAGGGCGGGTAAACTGAGGCATTTCCAGTTCCTGCTTTCTCGAGCCGTTTTGCATGGCCCCGCAGTGAGGAGAGGATACCCCCATATCCTCCACCTGCGTGCGGGGTCGGTGGCGGGCGGCCGAGGCGGGCTGCCCTGCGCTGCTCTCGGCGGAGGCGGCGAGGAGCGCCGAGGAGGAGGAAGAGGAATGGAAGACGACGTCGCCCCCGTGCCTGCTGGCGGAGCCGCATCAAGTGGGCAGCGACGGCAGAGACCGAGTGGAGGAGAAGACGAAGGGAGGATGGATGTGGAGGGGAGCTCTCAGCCTGCATCCCAATATCGGGCGAGGGTCTGGGCCGTCGACGTGCAAGGAGCGTCCGCGCGACCAGCTTCCTGCAGGTCCTGTGGCCTGGTCTTCGAGGCGGGCGAGTTGCGCCTATGTACGTGGGGCAACCGGACATGCTCGCGCTGGACGTGCCCCACTTGTTTGCAGGGTCGCGTGCCGCAAGGTGCCGAATTCCGACCTCATGGCAGAGGCGATGACACGAGTATCGCCGCGGCGCGTGCGCAGACAGCAGTCGCCGAGCCCCAGGCCAGCAACGCAGGAGGCGCTGGGGGCTCGCGGCCGGCGCCGCCAGAACAACTTCTCCAACATCCAGCCTGGGACGACAACGTGCTGCCTGGCCGGCCGGCATTGGTGGGCGAGATTGCCTTGGAACGATTTGTTAACGACCGGAGCCACCACTTACGTGCAGATCCCGGACAGACTACGAGGCGCGGTCCTCCAGGCGAGGCGGAAGACGCTGGAGATACTTCGGAATGCCCGGGAACACGGGGAAGCGAAGGAGGAAAGGAAATTGTTCTTGGTGCTGGACCTCCTACTCCTCAGCACCAGCAGCGAGGGTGCGACGTGTGCGGAGTTGCTGGAGGAGCGACTTGCGTGGTTCTGGGGGGCGCAGTGGGAGGCAATGTGGACATCCGTGCGCCACGGGCGGGAGATCCCAATGGCTGCCGCCAGGAATGGTGACAAGCTGAAGGCGGCGCGGATCCACACCCTGGCAGCAGCTGGAGAGGAAGGGCGAGCACTACGGGCCACTGCCAACAGCAAACTGGCGCCCCGCACCCCGACGGCTCTGCCCGCGCCGTCGGCGGAAGGTATCCCGCACCCTTCGCAAGAGACACTCGAGAAAGTCCAGGAGGAGACGGCGCGCCTGCTCCGGAAGCCACCCCGCCTCTCAGCGCCGGGGCTTCTAGGCAGCCGCTTGGGGCACTTAACAGACGCGAAAATATGTTCCGAGACCCTGGGCTGGCTCACCGAAGCTGTCTCGTGGATCGCCTTTGGCATGCTCCCGGGGGAAGCTATGGGTGTTCTCTGGACCGGGGAGGTCACGGCGCTGCGCAAGGGAGACGACGACGTGCGACCGCTCATCGCGGGATCGACGGAGCGACGCCTGGGTCTGCGAGCGCTGGCGCGGACCCGGAAGGAGCAGCTCCGGGACGCAGCCGGGCACAGGCAGCGCGGGGTCGGGAGGTCCGGCGGCACCGAGCTCCTGCTGCGGAAACTGGAGGCGCAGGCAGAAACCAGGCCGACAGCAGTTTTCCTGAAGGTGGACGTGGAGGCCGCCTTCCCCTCGCTGGAACGAGCGCCCGCCATAGCGGCAATGGCGGAGCGAGACGAGGTGGTCGCGACGGCCCTGCTCGCTTGGTACGGACAGCCAGCGAGGCACCTCTGGCGCGACGCCGGGGGGCTTTTCCACCCGCTTGACAACACGAGGGGCTTCGACCAGGGGGGCCCGCTCTCGCCCGCGGCCTACTCCGTGGCGCAGAGAGTAGCTCTGGACGGCTTTCAGACCGAGCTGCTCCGCCTGGACCCGCAAGCGAAGCTCTACAGCTACCTGGGCGACACCTACCTGGTGGTAGACGCCGCGCTGGCCGCGCTCGCCTTGGAAGCCTTCCAGCGGGCGCTCCACCCCCTCGGGCTGAAGCTGAAGCTGGCGAAGACGGCCGCCTGGTCCCCAGCCGGGCGCGCCGTGCTCACGCAGGACCTGCAGGCGAGCTGGGTGCCGCGCCTGCCTGTGCTCGGCAAGCACCTGCGGCCTCCGGGAGACGCCGAGAGCAGCGCGCCCGCCGCCCTAGGGGTGCCAGCGAACAGCTTGTCCGAGGCTGGGCGGAAGCTAGAGACGCTCTGGGGGGAGCTGAAGAAGCTGCAAAAGGCCGGACTCAGGAAGCAGGCAGCGGCAGCCCTCCTGCGCGCTTACGCGGGCCCGGCGAGCCAGCACTCCTTGCGGATGGAGCTCGCCCAGGACTCCGCGACGCAGCAGTACGACGATCTGCTGACGGGCTGCTGGCGGGACCTCCTGGAACGGGACCTCGACGAGGCGGCCGTGGAGCTCCTGGGCCTCCCGGCCAGGTTTGGAGGCCTCGGCGCGCAGCTGGCGGGCACGCGGCGCCACGCGGCCTTCTTCGCCTCCTGGTCAGCCGCGGCGCAGGAGGTCGCAGAGGACCAGGGCAACGCGACGCTGGCTGACTGCCTGGAGCGGCTGCCACGGGCGGCCCAGCAGCTGGAAACGGCGCGGCGCGGACTGCAGGGCCAGGGGCTCGAGCTCGCGCCGGGGGGCGACTTGGCGACTGCGCTGCAGACGCCCCTGAAGCAAGGCTTGGCCACGGAGAAGGTGCCGAGGACCCAGCGCGCAGCTCTGCTGCGACGCTTGCCCCCTCCCCGACAGGCCGAGCTGCGGGGCGCAGCCGGAAGCGGCAGCGCGGCCTTTCTTGCCTACCCGGAGGACGACCTCTGCTCCCTCGAAAACGCGCTCTGGCAGGCAGGGACGCGGCGGCGGCTGCAGCTTCCGCGCGCCGAGCTCAGCCAGCGGGAGCTAGCGACCGCGCCGGCCGACTGCTGCCTGCGCGCTGCCGACGGCGCTGGCTGCCACGGGGCACTAGACGACGGCGGTTACCATGCCCTGACCTGCCAGGTGGGCGGGGGCGTGGTGGCGCGACACGGCGGCCTCAACCGGAGGGTCGGGGGTCTCCTCCACCGCTGGCGCGGCGAGCGGCCCCTCGTTGAGCAGAGAGTGCCGACTTGGGACCGCCAGCACCCCGACGGCAGACTCGAGCGCGCGATCCTGGACCTGCAGTACCAGGACGACGACGGCACCCACTGGCTCGACGTCTCCGTCCGCCACCCTGCAGCCGGCACGCAGGCCGAGCTGCGCCTGGCCGCGCGCCGGGACGGCGAGGCCAGCAGGCGCGGCGAGCGGGAGAAGCACGCCCGCTACCCCGGCGACCGGCTGACGCCCTTCGTCCTCGAGGCGGGGGGGCGGCTCGGCGCCGAGGGCCGCCTCTGGCTGCTAGGGCAGGTGCGGCGCTTGCCCGAAGACGAGCAGCAACGCGAGCTGGCGCGGGCCTACAAGGTCTTGTCCTGCGGCCTGCAGGCGGCAACAGCGCGCCAGCTCCAGAAGGCGGCCGGCTTGCGCTAGGCGGCGCGCCGCCGGCTGGCGGGCGGAGCCGCCGCGGCGGTGGCAGCAGCGCGGCTCGACACCGCTTAGCGAGGCCGCCGAGCTGACTGACGCGCTGGCGCGGCGGGGCTAGCGCAGGGCGGCGCCGACAGCCGCTTGGGGCCGACGTGGAGCTGGCGGCGACCCCAGCAGCCCGTGTCGGCCCACGGGGGCCACTGGAGACGCTGGAGGGGCGAGCGGCGGCTCGGGCGGCGGCCGGCGGCTGGCTGCCGCGCGCCGCGGCCAGGCGACCTTCAGCCGCAGCGCGCTGCCGGGGCGCGCGGCCGTGGCCGGTCGAGGTGCTCTATTTGGACTACCAGAGGTATCTATGGTGCTTCCGCCCTCTCATACCACCCTCTGGTGAGGGTCGCGCGGATTTTTACGAGGCTTCGACAGACGCGCCTCCTCCTCCTCCTCCTCCTCCTCCTCCTCCTCCTCCTCCTCCTCCTCCTCCTCCTTTTCCCTGCCTCCCTCCCTCCCTCCCTCCCTCCCTCTCTCCCTCCCGCCCGTTTGGCGTGCACGAAATAAGTCTGAATGGAAACGGGTGCTGGACCCCAGGGCCTTCCCCCAGGACGAGTCTCTCCTCCTGGGCCGCTTCTTTCGGCAGCCTCGGGGCCCTAGAGAGGGCCCCGAGCGCTCGGAGGTGGCGAAAAACCTCAGGACCTGTTTCCGTCAGGACCCGTTTCCTTCACTCGGCGGCGAGCCCAGGGGTACGAGGCGGGAGTCTATCCATATCCACCGCCTGTGGAACTGACGTCCTGCGACCCCAGCGGGCGGTGGATGTGGATGTATTTGGGCCCCAGCCCTCGCGCCTTCTGGGAAGCCGCCCGTGGCTTCGGGGAGGGCTCACGTGGCATCGGAGAAGGCGCGAGGGCTTCTGAGAAGCCCCGCCGCTCTCCTCCCCTTCCCCCCTGGGCTCGCCTTCGTGGAGAGCGTTTGCTGTTCCTCGCCGCGACAGCGGCCGTTACGAGCCTCCCCAGCCCCCTCCACAGGCAACGCCACGCTTCGTGCTGACCTCCGAGCTGTCGCTGGCTGCTCCTAGACATTCCCAGACGGAGTTGGCGCCCCGCCCCCCCCCCCTTCACCCCCCCTCTGACTACCTACCAGACCACCCCTCACCCGAAGACCCAAATTTCGGGTTGCGTCAATGTCCCCCGACGCCTACCCCCCCATGGGAATGGAGGACAAATTGGGGCCTTCGGCTTGGGTTGGGGTGGTCTGGTGGGTGATGACCCTCGGTACAGTCAAAAACCCTAACAAGGACGCGCGGTAAGGACGCAAGAGCCTTGGAAGCCGAAGTTGGGATTTTTGGGGCGGTGGACGACGAACACCTCAAGGACGCAAGGGCAAGGAAGAGCAAGGACGCAAGGGTACCCTGAGCAAAGTCGCGCGTTCTTATTAGGGTTTTGGACTGTATCGCCTGGGAAACAAAAAACGCTCTCCTGGCGACCCGTGGCCCTGGCCAGGCCCGTCCGTCGCGGGCCGGGCGCGCGACGCCGAGCCGCTTCAGCAGGGCCTCGAGGCGCGCCCGCGCCGGGCTCCGCACCTAGGGCGGGGGGGGGGCCACCAGCATCACCACCAACACCACTCTGACCATCACAATCACCACCACCACCACCATCACCATCACCACCACCATCACCGTCACTGCCACAACCATCATCATCATCAGCAGCATCATCAGCATCATCACCCTCGTCGTCGTCGTAATCATTATCATCATCGTCATCATCATCATCATCATCATCATCATCATCATCATCATCATCATCATCATCATCATCATCATCATCATCATCATCTCATCATCATCATAATCATCATCATCATCATCATAATCATCATCACAATCATCATCATCATCATAATCATCACCATCACCATGACCATCATCATCAGCATCATCATCGTCACCATCATTGTCATCTTCGTCGTCGTCGACATTGCTGTCGTCTTCTCCTCGCCGTCTTCATCATCATCAGCATCATCATCACAATCATCGTCATCGTCGCCATTACCATTATCATCCTGACCCTTCGCACAACCACCATCATTATCATCACCCCACCACCACCAAACTCCTCCTCCTCCTCCATCACAGCCACCATCATCATCAACATCATCAGCAGCAGCATCATAACCACAATGAACCTCAGCACCAGCTTCATCGCCAGCATCAGCAGCATCAACATTAGCATCACCGTCATCATCCTCATCATCGCCATCACCACCAGCATCATCAGCATCATCAGCGTCAACAACAACAGCAGCATGAACAGCATCAGCATCAGCATAGTCGTCATCACCATCACCATCAACATCATCACCAGCACCATCACCATCACAATCACCATCACGATCTTCATCATCGTCATCACCATCACCATCGTCATCAGCATCATCATCATCATCATCATCCTCATCCTCAACATCATCATCTTCAACATTATCATCAACTTCATCATCGTCAGCAGCATCATCATCGTCGCCATCATATCGTCATCATGATCCCCGCCCCAACCTCAACCATACCTCCTCCTCATCATCCTCATCATCGTCATTAGTATCAACATCATCATCCTCATATTATCATACTCATCATTATCATCATTATCATAATCACCACCACCACCATCATCATCATCATCAACATCATCTGCGTCTGCATCCTTATCATCATCATCGTCATCATCATCCTCATCATCAGCATCAGCATCATCACCCTCATCATCATCAGCATCATTATCAACATCATCAGCATCAACATCATCATCATCATCATCATCATCACCATCACCATCACCATCATCACCATCACCATCATCATCAGCATCAGCATCAGCATCAGCACCTGCACCATCACCATCACCACCATCATCACCATCATCATAACAATCTTCATCATCGACATCATCATCATCATCATCATCATCATCATCATCGTCATCATCCTCATCCCCATCATCATACTCCCCATCATCATCATCATCATCATCATCATCGTCATCATCATCATCATCATCATCATCATCATCATGCATCACCATCGCAATCATCACCACCACCATCACCATCATCACCATCACCATCATCACCACCACCATCATCATCATCATCATCATCATCATCATCATCATCATCATCATCATCTGCGTCTGCATCATTATCATCATCATCATCATCCTCATCATCAGCATCAGCATCATCACCCTCATCATCATCAGCATCATTATCAACATCATCAGCATCAACATCATCATCATCATCATCATCATCATCATCACCATCACCATCGCCATCACCATCATCACCACCACCATCACCATCATCATCAGCATCAGCATCAGCACCTGCACCATCACCATCACCACCACCATCATCATCACCATCATCATAACCATCTCCATCATCATCATCATCATCATCATCATCATCATCATCATCATCATCGTTATCCTCATCCTCATCCTCATCCTCATCCTCATCCCCATCATCATACTCCCCATCATCATCATCATCATCATCGTCATCATCATCGTCATCATCATCGGCATCATCACCAGCATCATCACCACGAGCATCATTACCATCACCCTCACCACCACCATCACCATCATCATCATCATCATCA